AAAATCCTTAGCCAGGACACTTAATATTCTTGGTAATCTGTACCTAGTCTGCCTTCCCAATGTTATTCTCACTGTTTTTCTTCCTGTATCCTATGCTTCCAGCAGATGAAATACTGCCTGTTTTCCCTCCATGCCTTAGAATCCAATCTTGATGACCCTGGTCACACAGACACCTGCACCTGCCCTTGTCTCTCCTCACCTCATGTCTAACTCAACAGGCGAAAGTTCCTCCAGAGAGATTTCTTTGATATTTCATTTCAGAAATAATATTTCCCTCTTCTAAAATTCCATGGGAATTGTCAGTACCTTTTCTATGTGCTTAATCAAGCCTTACCGTATTGTGGACTTAGTTAGGCATGTGCTTTATCTCTTTCACATGAGAGTAAGCTTTTTAATGTCAGTATCCTGCATCTATAGATAGCCCATGAGTGTATTTTGAACAAGAGAACAATAACATATACGTAGAGCTAGAATTGCCCTAAGGATATATTAGTATTCAGAGGACAGCAGCTCAGATAACGTTATATTCTGCTAGGGCAACATTCTGTATGAAGGATGGGAACGTGGGGAAGCAGGAATCTAGCAGACAAAAAGCTTTTTGTTGCTTTCCAGAGATAATGTTACTGTGTCATGCTCAATCACCTTCATTTTTTAAACACTTTCATCACTTGGTTTTGAGATACCACAAGCTCCCGAATATCTCCTTCTCAGTGTCCTTTGCTGTCCCTCCTCTTCTTCCCGGCAACCAAATATTGGGGGCCCCCAGGCTGACACCTTGATCTTCTCCTTTTTTCAAACACATTCACTTTTAGCATGTTGCCTCCAGGCCTATGGCTTGAATCACATCTCTATGTTGATAACTTCTAAACTGGTAGTGTAGATACCTTCGACCTACCTCCTGAGTTCCATATCCATTCATTTCATTGCTTTCTCAGCAATTCCACTTGGATATCCAATAGACATCCAAATTTTACTTGGCTGGAACAGAAATGTTGATTTTCTCCAGGAAAGCCACTTCTCCTTTACCCTTGTTTCTGTCTCAGTAAATGATGACACTCAGGTATTCAGACTGAAAGCCTAAGTTAGCAAGTTTGATTTTCCCATCATCCTGACCAAATCCATTCAGCAACCCCAACAGCTCAATCTTCAAAATATATGACAAACCTTTCCCCCTTTTCCCGTGATCATCCTTGACAGAGCCATCACCAAATCAAGCCTGACTTGCTTGGCCTCCTAATGCTCCCCTCCTTCCACCCTCCCAGTCTGTTCTCCATGCAGCAGCCAGATTGAAAGTTTTAAAACTTGAGCCAGTCCCTCCTTTGCTTAGAACTCTCCAGAGACATTCTGTCACACTTAGAATAAAATATGTACTCCTTATCAGGGTCAGCATTGCCCCATGTGACCAAGCATCTGGCTACCTGTCACATCCCACCTCCTACTTTCCACCAGACTCAGGGTGCCCCAGCCACTCAAGGCCATACCTCAATACACCCAGCTTATTGCCTCTGCAGGCTCTCTGTCTTTGCTCATCCCTCTTCCTGGAAAACACATTCTTGGATATTTGCATGTCTTTTTGTCTCATGTCATTCAAAGCAGCTCTTCCCCAACCAGCCCATGTTCCCTCCCCAGGTGTTCTCTATTATTAGTATACATTACTTTTATTCTTAGCACTCACTTCTATGTGAAATTACACTGTAATATTTGGTGAGATGCTTCCTCATTTCTCATGTTATATCAACCCATGAATTTTGTGTAACTATTTCTGCTTCTTACCATACCTCACTCTGCCCCTTAGAGAAGGATAAATATCTGCTTGGTGGCAGGAGCCTTGGTTCTCTGTAGGGTGGAGGTGATGATTCAGAGGTCTTGAGAGAAGTAATTTGGTCTCCTTATCCTTCCCTGTCTAACAAACTCAGCAAGAAGCAGCCATGTCTGCTCAGCAGACTCAAACTTTCTCTTAAGTGGGTTGTTTTAAAGTCTATCATTATCCAATTTAATCTTTATCAGAAATAATATTGATACTTCTGCAGCCATCTTCTGGCCATTTTTGTTTTTTATCTTCCATTGGTCCAGACTCAGAATAAGAAGAAGGGTGCTATTCATTGGGTTTTCTCATGACCCAACAAATACTTTTACTTAATTACTTATCTAACTATCTTCCCTAGCTGGAATGCAAGAACAATGTCTGGTATATAATAGGTCCTTGATTAATACTTGAATGAATGAAAAAAGTGTCCAATCTTCTTTTCAATGATATTAAAAATATAATACAAAAAATAACCACCTTTCCAGTAAAAAAAAAAAAAGGAAGTGAATTTTTTACAGATGTTATTTTTTTCTGCAGCCAAAGAAGTTTATAACCTAGGCAATAAAAGACTAAAATTATATCAAGAAATAAAAATAGAATCTAAACATATCTATACGACACCACTTCCACTATGGGCCTCTCACCTGGGTCACTGCTAGGCTTCCTACCAGTTCTTCTTGCTTCCTCCCACACCCCAGAGTTCATTCTCCATACAGCAGCCAGTAATCCTTTTAATGTATAAGGCAGGTCTCATTAGATCATGCCTCCTCAAAACCTTGCAGTGACTCTCCTTCCAGAATAAAAGGCACAGTCTTTACCAAGGTCCCTGAGATAGACTGGGATCTGGCCCCCACCACCTCTCTGACCTGAGCTGTTACACCTCTGCCCTCCTTCACTCTGGTTCAGCCACATGGGCCTCCTAGCTGCTCCTTGATCAGGCCAAGGATGTTCTTGCCTTAGGTCTTCCACATGGGCTGGCCCTCTGCCTGGAACTCTCTATCTGAGATAGCTTCCTGGCTGACTTCCTGCCTCCTTTTAGTCTTTGCTCAAACTTCACCCCACCATCTCACTGAGGCTCATTCTGGCCACCTTATTTCATACTGCCACTGGCCTCTCCTTCCCTCTTCACTCTTCATTTCCAGTCCCCTAAAGGACAAATCTGCTCAAAATATTCTTCTTACTATAGCACATAGCACCATCCCGCTTACAACGTACTTTATTTATTTCTTATGTTTATTGAAGAATATTTCTCTTCCACCAAAATGTGAGCTCCAGCTGGGTGAGGTGCCTGACACCTGTAATCTCAGCACTTTGGGAGGCCAAGGCGGTCAGATCACTTGAGGTCAGGAGTACGAGACCAGCCTGGCCAGCATGGCAAAACCCTGTTTCTACTAAAAGTACAAAACATTAGCCAGGCATGGTGGTGCATGCCTGAGTCCCAGCTACTGGGGAGGCTGAGGCAGGAAAATCACTTGAACCCAGGAGGTGGAGGCTGCAGTGAGCCAAGATCGCACCACTGTATTCCAGCCTCAGCAACAGAGCAAGACTCTGTCTCAAAAAAAAAAAAAAAAAAAAAAAAAAAAAAGTGAGCTCCACAAGAGCAGGCATCAGTGTGTGTTTTGATAATAAACATATTGTGAGTACCTAGAATACTACCTGGCACATGCTTATGTACCCAATTGTTGAATGGTTCAATTAATAGGAAGGAATAGTTTTGTTTCATTGTTTAAAATAAAAACTAAATCAAAGCTTTGGAATTACGTCTTTTCATAAGCAATGTGCGCACAACATACCTCCATGTGGATGAGTCCTGTAGCTGGGACTTGGAGGAGAGTAGAGCTGCAGCTGTGCTGTGAAGATCCACACCACTCGGAAAATATACTCGGTGAAGGGGTGCAGGGCTTTAACCACATAGGACAGTTTGGACACGGTCTAGATCAATGAGTGATCAATAATCAGCATATATAGAATCACCACCCCACATTGGGACTCAAGAGCATAGATTAATTTGTAGAAGATGGATGGCTTGCCAGAGAAGACAAAATAGAGGCCTGGAGCTTAGAGCTAAGCCATTCAGATATCAGTGTGCAGAATTCACTCAGAAATTCTCTCCTTCAAAATAGCAAAATTATGGATTCAATTATTTGGCATTTACCTGAAGGACTTACATTTTTCTATGTTAGTACACATAGTGTCTTGGGATTGTTTTTTTTTCTAAACTTTCTCATGTTTTCCTAAAAGGCACAGTCCTGGATGACCACCATAGACAGCACTTCTAAATTGCAACAGCCCCCATGCGAATCTTTCTTCTACCCTCCATCCTACCTGGACTCATTTTAGCTGGCTTGGGCAGATAATAACTAATGGGAAGAATGGTTATGTTATGCTATACTGAAGGAATAGCACATATGTCCAATATTATATTTTCCTTATAAAATACATATTATATTTTCCTTATAAAATAAGCCTTAATGTTAAGGCTTAGCATTAACATGTTACAGAGTAGCTGAGATTAAATTTCATCTAATCCAACTATCCATCTCATGCTTGAATCTTTTCTAGAAGGCCTTTATGCCTATAACTGTAAGTAATAATTTGGTGCTTTTAAAAATAGGGAGTGGTCTGGGTTTAGGTACAAAGGCAGCCTTTCATACCTTAGTATAAGTCCAGCTTCCCAGAAACTGTGCATATTTCCACTGAATGATGTATTTTACTCCAGAGAAGTTGGCAGATTTCCATCGTAATGTCATATTGTAGCTTCCAATGGAAGAAGCAAAGGGTGCAGTTGGAAGACCTGCATTTTCTAGGGAGAAAACAAGATTTCACTCACCATGCACTCTTGTTCATCAGAGCAAGAGAATGTGTGCCTGTCTCATCTAGGGCTCTCCATATTCTCTTGCTAAAACTGCATTTTGCTACAATAACTCACCTGAATAATCAATGGTATGCATATTCAATTTATTTTTAAAAATTAGTCAGTCTCTCAATCTTTTTTTCTACAGAATTTACTATTATCTTTGAACATAGTCTTTGTTTTGTTCTGATTTTGATTTTACAGGCAGATGACACAGCGCATTCTGAGCTGTCCAGTTTTCTCTTACAATATCACTCTCTTACAGGCAACGGGAGCCAGTGCTCAGAGCACATCTGTGGCACAACAGAACCATCCATTATCCTGGGATATGTACCCCAACATATTTCTGAAATTTTATACTCCAATTCTACTATTGCTGTGCATCTTAACAACAAATTATTTTTTATACGTACAGAGCAATTGCCTTTACTCCAAAGGACTCTGTGATCAACTGTTTCACATTATAAAACATTTCAGGACATCTAAACATTAGATATATTACAATTGGCAGCACATATTTCTCAGGTGCTGCTTGCCAGGCATGGTACTAAGGGCTAGACTTCTGAGTGGTACATCCCACTGGGATGAAATTATTTTAGTTTACTTTTTATATTTTTCCAAAATTGTGATGAATTTAATGATTCAGCTTTCTTTTCTGGAAACAAAATCAGCGCTCTGGTTTAGAAAGCATGGTAAATTTGGTAGGGAGCTTAAAATGGCTAAATACAAAGTCCCATTAGCTGGGCATGGTGGCGCGTGCCTGTAATCCCAGCTACTCAGGAGGCTGAGGCAGGAGAATTGCCTGAACCCAGGAGGCGGAGGTTGCGGTGAGCCGAGATCGCGCCATTGCACTCCAGCCTGGGTAACAAGAGCGAAACTCCGTCTCAAAAAAAAAAAAAAAAAAAAAAAAAACAATGTATAAAAATAAATAAATAAATAAATAAATAAATACAAAGTCCCAGGATCTCAGTCTTTCTGGTTAAGAGAAAATTGATACAGTTCTTATCACTACAGACACTAGACATAGACCAATTAAAGTCCATACTCTGTAATACAGAAAAATCAGAGTCATTGTCATCTGAGGACCTAGCCACAAAGGGGCCTAGCACAACACTTCTCTGCTGATTCTTCTTTTTAGAGTTAATTTTTGGCTATTATAACTGAACAAGCAAAGCACAGCCCCATTTTTCTTCCCTTTCTTGTGAGACTCTCAGTACCAGGAATTAGAGTATGCTGTGGACATCCTGAAGGGGAGTCCAACGATGGAGTTGTCGGCAGAGTGAGGAAAAATAGCCAGGAGGCATCAGAAACAAAAGTTGAGAACTGGCAGAAGTGATCAGTTATATAAGTACAAGTAAATGTAAATATCATAGCTAAATATAGACATATTTCAAAGCCATGGTGATACATATGAAAAAAAGGTAAAGTAGGTTTATGCTAAATTATCAAGGCAAAAAGAGAGCCAAATGAAAAAGGGAAGCTAGACTGAGCTCCATCCTATTTTCAGTATATGGCAGAGTGGGTAAGAAAAGGCCCTGTTACCAGGCACCTGGGTTATAATTCCAGAAATATCCCTTACCAGCTATGCGGCCTCAAGCAAATGTATAAACTTTGTGCCTCAATTTTCTCACCTGTAAAATGAGGTTAATAATAGTATGTATAACTCTGAGGACAAAAGGAGCTAATATATATGAATAAATAAGTGGTCAACTCATAAATGCCTAATAAAAAATAACTATTTTTGGCCACGTATGGTGGCTCATGCCTAACTAATCAGGAGGCTGAGGCAGGAGGTTTGCTTGAGCTCAGGAATTTGAGGTTATAGTGTGCTGTGATTGTGCCACTATATTCCAGCCCGGGTGATAGAGCGAGACTCTGTCTCTCTCTCATATATGTATATACATATATATACACACATATACATATATATGCACATATATATTTGTATATGCAAATATATACTTATTTATTCATTTTAATATGTTATTAGCTATTATCATTTTCCATCATGTGAAAGGGGGTATGGGAGATATGTAAAATGAATATAGCATACCTACAGATAAATGACTCAGGAATCAGATGTGTTAAAGACAAATAAAATCTTAGGATCATGGACAAAATGATTCGTTATAACAGACTACAGGTATGGCCCCTAAGTACAAATGCCTTTATTTAGACTCGGTACATCTCATTTGTTAGTGGTACATAGTCATTGATCCATTACCAAAGAGAAAATAAAAATAAAGCATTGATTACACTTGTATTCTAACAGAATTGTGTAATTAAGTTGGTAATATAATTTTAGAACATAATAAAGGAATGTAAATAAAAGATTTCACACTCCCTCAGTTCTGGTGTCCTTAGTTTCTCAGAAATTTTTTTCATGGTTCTCTGAACCAACAGAATTCTCTGGAGAACAGTTCCATTTTTTTAAGTAGTATTAACTTAATAAGTATGTGTTAATACCAAATTGACTAACAATTTGATATTAATTGCTAGTATCTAACAATTTGGTAGATATTTGAAACAAATAAGAAATTGAAAGATAAAACTGTGTATTTATTTCATCCTTAAGTAAAAATAATTGCATCCTAATGGGACCTGTGTACCTGCTGGGCACTGCACAACTCCTCTAACCTTAGGATCAGACTGGGTATCACCATCCAACAGATTTCACCTCTCCTTGTGTTTCTCTTGAGTGTTTAAAATACTCCATGTTCCCTATTAGATTGCTGTAATGGCCTGGAGCACATCAGTGCCCAGCTGGAAAATCATAAAATACAAATTTTATCCACAGCTAATTCCTATGACACAGAAAAAAAATGCAATATCACTACTTCTCCACAGAAATGTCTAGGGTATCTTTCGTGGGACACTAAAGGGCAGAAGAAAATCAGAACAGCAAGATAAGATTCCCCTTCCAATTTCTATCAGCCACTGAGAGCAAGGAACAAGCCACTGAGTCAAGGACTACAATGTATGGAAGAACCAAGCATCTCTCAGACTTAACAGAACTGTCTGCCTGTTGGTGGGAGGATGCCCTAGGGAATTCAGGAATGCTGTCTGCTGACATCCAAGCTATGACTTATCAAAGCACTGGCCTTTAAGAAACTACTGGAGAATTAATACACTAAGGCAAGGCTACTTTGACATCCCCAACCTACTCTGAAATCAGGCAGAGGGAGCTGATAAACACCCAAACCCCCTACTTGCTCAAAATCTAACACTGAAAAGCATAGCTTCTGTACATTTTACAAATTTCTAGAGCCTTTTGAGGAGTCTTTCACACAATAGGCACTCTATTGGATAACTGTTAGCTTAATAATGGAAGGTACATTCAATACAATATACCTATACTTTCCATTCATTGAAACAGTGGCATTCCCTGACATCAAGTCTGCTCAGGATATACATTGTCTTGTCATTAAGATAGAAGTGAGTACACCTACTGAACTTGAGGACAAAATCTGGTCTTAAATATTAGTCATGTACTGTTTCCTCTGTTTTGTTCTGAAAGAAGAATCTTGCTGAGTCTTTTAAAATTGAATTCTCTATGTATTTTTTATCATACTGAGATGCAGAAGTCAAGAGGTTTTGAAAGGTGTTTCATTATCTTTACATAAGTACAAGTCACTAGAGTGGTGTAGACTATTTTTTTAAAGTCGTGTGTGTCCTCTTACCCAGTACTTCCTCTTCATATGCACCTTCCGCACTGCTGCAGCCAACCTCACATAATTCCCACTGTGAAAGACAGGTAACATGCCAGTCAGGGCATCCTTGTTACTGGTTTTGCTAATAAGCTTCAATTAAATTGTGAAATCTGAATGCCTAACATGCAAGTATATCTTTGCCCACTATGTAAGTAAATCTTTGAAATCAGAGTGTCTAATACACAAGTACATCTTTATGTAAACTATTTCTACTGCAGTAAAATTCCCACTTGCTAGACTGGCGCTTCCCAAACTTTTGACCTTGCTCTGTAACAAAAAATAATTTAACAAAACAACTTAGTATACACATACGTGTTGGAAAAAAGATTCCTAAACAATTCTTACTTTTCCTTCCATTTTTAGAAGTTTTACTGAGATATATTCACCTGCCATAAACTCACTTATTCAAAGTACACAGTTCAGTGCTGTATGAATATTCACAGAGTTGTGCAATAATCACTACGATCTAATTTTAGAACATTTTCATTGTCTTCAAAAGAAATCCCTTGTCTGTGATGTGCTCTTATATGTTCAATGCTATTCTATTCTATTTTTTCATTTTTTTTTTTTTTTTAGATGGGGTTTCACCATATTGGTCAGGCTGGTCTCGAACTCCTGACCTCAGGTGATCCGCCACCTCAGCCTCCCAAAGTGGTGGGATTACAGGCGTGAGCCACCTATTTTTTCATTTTGTTTAATGCAACTCTTGATTCGCTGAATTGGCTTGATGACCTTCTAACGGGTCATGTCATACAGGTTGAGAAAACACTGAACTCAGCAGTACAATTATGTGCTTGCCAACTTGGTCAATGTTTTAATGAGCTTAAAACCTAAAACTTTAGACTAAAATGATGCTTAGGGATTACCTATTTATTTTATATATCCTGGTCTTCCTTGGAAAATTAAACATTGACTATAAATTTATATAGTAGCTGAACATTTTAATGAATATCTTTATACTAAGGTTGAGTTTTCAAATCTACGAAAACTTAATGATGTTTACATTTTATTTCATTATTGAAAAATACAGTACACAATTTGATGACTGTAACACAAATTTCCTGCAGCTCTTAACAGATGCATTAACATTGGCTACAAAACACACACACATACTTGGAGAAAAGGTACACATTGTTAAAGTACAACACAATCATGATCTATCTTCCTGTTCTCTTTCAATTTGTAACTATAATACCTAGGACAACATGCTATTGTTTCTCATGATAATAATGGAAACCATGGCACAATACATTTGCCCTAAAAAGAAGGGCTGTAACTTGCAAATATGAACAGTTCAGTGTTTGCTCTGCAAACTAAAAGGAAGGATGCCTGATAAGTCCAGGTTTGCTTTAGTTAAGGATTAATTTAAACACCTCAGTTTGGGTTTGGAATTATTTAACTTCAAGGTTTAGTATACATTTCAAATACTGCTTACATATTTTAATAAAACATTCAACATATTTATTAACTGCAGAGAATAAACAAGCCAATTTACAGCAAAATTATTATATAACATGAGTTTTTTTTTTCTTTCAAAAAGAAAACTGAGGATAAGAAAGGAGAAATATTTGAAAATACAGATTATTTTGAAACATAGCTAGTCCTGACAATCAGGGAAAATTGTGTTCCTGTTTTTTTCTGATACTTTCAGGGGAAACAGATAATAAAATTCCCATCCTTCTGGGAGTTTAAAAGTTATCTCAAGTGGAGACAAAGCTAACAACTATGTTTCCTTCTACCTCTCTCCCCAGCCCATTGTCCCACCCCTTTCACCTCCTTTCACCCCTCCCTGAACTATGGTGGCAATTTAACATTGGACTTCAAATAAAGTTATCCAGTGTTTCTCAAGCTTGAGCTGCCTAGAGAGAATCTAAAGGTGATTGGATTTAAGGAATTTACAGAATCTGAGCCTGAAGCCCTTGGATGGGACATTCATGTGGCATATTCCAAATTAGTGTGCTGCCATTCCCATACTGGAAGCCAAGTTTACTCTTCCTGGAGCCTACATTAGCTTGCTCCCTCTGTTCCCACCCATACTCCCATCTTCCCCATCGTAGTCAGACCATCTTTATTGTCCCTCTGGCTCCATCCTTGGTTTCCCAGACTGGCAAACAGACTGCCAGTGCCCTTTCTGGCTTCTGTAACACAAGGAAGACTCCCCCACCACCCTCCATATAAACTGTGACATTGTTCCCTTAAAAATCACTCATTTATTTATTCATTCAAGAATATTTGAACAGTTGGCCTTTTTCGTGCCAACCATGGTTTTGGGGTCTAAGAGTATGACAGTAAGCAAGAAAGTTAAATTCCCTGCCTTACAGGACTTCCCCGAGAAGGAGATAGATAATAACTGAATGACAAATTTTGAAAAAGAAAAAATAATTCTAATAATGAAAAATGCTAGGAAGAAAATAAGCCAAAGGCATAGGTATAACTGTTTGAATGTAGAAAGCTTATTATTTTTGCGATTCATATTTCTTGGAGGCAATAATCCTGAAAGTCATATCTCAGTGAAATAGAACTTGGAAAATAGCCAAAAGGCCAACAGGCAAAAAGATCTAATTTATGTTTTCA